AGAAGAATATTTCGTTAAATACCTGACTGATCCGTTATTGGCTATGATCCGCTATTGGCTAACTCACTGTAGTTCATCAATTTTAACTGGTCAGCTTTGTTCAATATAAAAATACTGTTATTTCTATTATTTTTTAACTGGTCATCAGTGGTTTTATTGTTTTGTAATATGTAGAATTTATTTTATTACATGCTTTTCGGTGGTTTATAGAAATATATCAGTGAAATATAAAGCTGATAGTTTCAGTGTTTTAAACAGTGAAATTATCAATTTGATAATTTCAATGTTTTGAATTTAAGCCCCTTACGTTGTTTCAGTGAAATACCAGCGTGCAAGGTACTGGAACCAACTTAATGACGTGACGTCATAAATGACGACAAGTTGTATTATCATTTGGCGCGCTTTTCATTTAGTAATAGGGTAAAATGTATTTTTAAACGTTTGTTTGCATATAATAAAAAGAAAATTTTTTTTAGTGTAGTGTAACATCGAAATATATTTCACCTCGTGAACACCAAAAGTTCATATTTCACTCCTGGCTGCACATTCGTGAAATATAACTTTTGGTGCTCACTCGGTGAAATATAGTCTGATCTTACACTGAACTAAACAAATATCCTCTATATATTTTTATTAACAGTGTGAAAAAATAAGAAATGCACGTCTAAACATAATTTTCTCTGTTTATCTAAAAAAAAAAGTGGTCAGCAATTTTCACTATAAGTTTAACTGGTCAGCAGATTCTTCTATATGTTAAACTGGTCAGCAGGTTCTACAATACGTTTAATTGGTCAGCAGTTTTTTGCATGACGTACAGTTCGTTAAATATGCTGACCATATAGAATAAAAAGAAAATACGACAAAACCACTTAAGCAATTTCTTTTATATTTTAGTTTCTCAGCAGTGGTTAAATTGGTTTGCGAGATGTAGAATCTACAGTCTACAGTTTTCACTGTAAGTGTAACTGGTCAACAGATTTTACTAAATGTTTAACCCTTTACCTCATATAGACATGTTCTCCCGCCTTTTCACCACACACCCTTTTGAGGCCTCAAAAAGTAAAAACAATGCCCTATTTAATCCCCAAACACTTGTATTTGTTTGAGAAATGTTTTTAAAATGTTTTTTTTTTCGGCGCACAGTACGTTAAATCTGCTGACCATACAGTATAAAAAGGAAATATGGCATAAACCACAAAGCAATTTTTACTAACACTGCAAAATGAATTAGTATTTCACGGCAAATACCATTTTCATCTATACATCAGAAGTTTCTGAGTGCCAATTTGGTAGGTAGTTTGTAGTTGGAAATCTACTAGCTGGTAGTTGGTTATTCGTAATACCCCACTATCTACCAGCAGGTAGTTGGTTATTCGAACTTTGCATGTTTTCCCTTAAAAAACAGTAATTATTTTTCCGGAATAAATATAATGGATATACGATAGCAAGATAGATGTGTTTTTCAAGACTCACTATGCCCACCAGCGGAATCAGTTGGCTTAAATAAAATATGCTGACCAGTTAAACTTATAGTAGAATCTGATGTTAAGTTAAACTTAATATGTGAAAATTGCTGACTACTTGTGTTAGATAGAAAAAAATATGTGTGGGCGTAAATTTCTTCTTATTATTCTTTTTTACAATTTTAGTAATAAAATAAATTCTACATCTTACAAGACAATAACACCACTGATGACCAATTACAATCTAATAGATATTACTTATGTGATTTAAGCAGTAATTTTATAGTGACTAGTGCTGACCAGTTATTTTTATTAATCATGAACTTTCTTTGTATTTGTGGAGAAAACTTGTGTTTTACTGACCAATAAAATATAAGAAATCTTTTTATTTTGTATTTTATACAGACTGTTCAAATCTACATTATTATCATTACCATTTTCCATTACATCCTTTTTTGTACATTTTTTTGTAATATCATCTATGAATATAATTTGTTTGTCTTTTTTATATAAGTAAAATCAATTATTATACCCCCACCACAAAATGTGGGGGGAGCTATAATGGATTCGCTTTGTCGCGTGGGTCGGTCGGTCGGTCGGTCGGTCGGTCCGTCCGTCTCCATTTTCGTGTCCGCTCTATAACTCCTATACCACTTGAAGGATTTTCTTCAAACTTGGCTCAAATGTTCACCTCAGCAAGGGGATGTGCAGAACCCATGTTGCCCATGTGTCAGCTCAAGGTCAAGGTCACAATTGAAGGTCAAATATCAAACACAATCATATATAAGACAGTATGTCGTGTCCGCTCTGTAGGTCCTACAATAATTGAAAGATTTTCTTCAAACTTGGCTAAAATGTTCACCTCAACAAGGGGATGTGCAGAACTCATGTTGCCCATGTGTCATTTTAAGGTCAAGGTCACAATTGAAGGTCAAATATCAAACAATCAAATATTACACAATATGTCGTGTCCGCTCTGTAAGTCCTACACTAATTGAAAGATTTTCTTCAAACTTGGCTCAAATGTTCATTTTAACAATGGGATGTGCAGAACCCATGTTGTCCATGTGTCAGCTCAAGGTCAAGGTCACAATTGAAGGTCAAATATAAAACAATCAAATATTACACAGTATGTCGTGTCCGCTCTGTAAGTCCTACACTTATTGAAAGATTTTCTTCAAACTTGGCTCAAATGTTCACCTCAACAAGGTTATGTGCAGAACCCATGTCACTCTTTTGCCGGCTTAAGGTCACACTTGAAGGTCAAAAATTGACTTAGAAAATGTTCTTTAATTTTAACATATATCTGAATATTTCTGAATCTAGGAAAGGTATTTGCTTGAAACTTAAAATATAAATGAAGTGTCACAATTAAGATATGCTGGTCAAGTTTCATAACTCTGTATTGCATTTTAACAAAGTTATGCCCCTTTTTAATCTTCAAATTTACATACAATCACATATTAGACAATATGTTGTGTCCGCTCTATAAATCCTATACTAATGAAAGAATTTTCTTCAAACTTTTCTCAAATGTTCACCTAAACAAGGTTATGTGCAGAATCCATGTCACCTTTGTGCAGGCTAAAGGTCAAGGTCAGACTTGAAGGTCAAAAATTGACTTAGAAAATGTTCTTAGATTAAAACATGTTCTTGAATATTTCGGAAACTAGCATAGGTATTTGCTTGAAACTTAAAAGATATATAAGGTGTCACATTTACGATATGCAGGTCAAGTTTCATAACTCTGTATTGCATTTTGACAAAGTTATGCCCCTTTTTAAGTTTAAATTTACATACAATCAATACTAGACAATATGTTGTGTCCGCTCTATAAATTCTATACTAATGGAAGGATTTTCTTCAAACTTTACTCAAATGTTCACTCCAATTGGGCGATGTGCAAAACCCATCATACCCTTGTGCCAGCTGAAGGTCAAGGCCACACTTGAAGGTCAAAAATTGACTTATAAAAAGTTTAGTATATTGGGAAAATGAAAGGTTATTTGTAACTGTTTCGAACATGATTTGATAATATATATTTTTACTATTACCTGTACAATTAGTCTTTTTTCACCAGAGATAATTTCTTTTTTATGTATTTGTGCCACTTAAGTAATTCCCTTAACCACCTTTCCAAGTTGTCTTCTGTCAAGGACATTGGTGGGGGTATGAATCGCATTCAGCGATAGTTCTAGTTTTAATTGTTTACATCTTTTAAATGTCAACATAACATCATTTGCATTTGAAATATTTCTACTATATGAAAGTTGTACACAATTTATTATATTTTCTGTATATGTATAACTCTTTAAGTATTTACAAAAGTAATTTTTCCCCCATATTCTATACCGTCAACTTATTCATCAGCAGTTTAGAACCGCCCACCGGAAGGCGATAGTCGACAATGCGATAACGCGACGGCGACAGTGCGATAATGCGATGACGACAGTACTATCGCGTTATTGCATGATCGCCATCGCACTATCGTATTGTTGTCATGCCACTGTCGCACTATCACATTGTCGCCCTCTGTATTTTAAATATAACCACACTATGTTTATATAACGCTAATGACGCCACGTAAAAATATATGCACGGCCGTGCAATACCATATTAACGGAGTCGCAAAATCGACACGGGTGTGTGATAAACATGTATAATGATATAATTCCCCGCATCCAAACTCCAAACAGTGATGTTATTGAGCAATAAAATCACACTTTGGGATATATTATTTCTTAAGTGTAATATCGTTTTATTAAATGGCTTTATTACACTCCTGCGCCGCGGTTTATGAGTTAAATTCTATTTATCACATATTAAAAATAATAACAGTTTTGCGTTCATTGAACGCCGCCTTTCCTTGTTGATCTTGTTTATCATATTTATGATTAAAAAGAGTCATATTTCATTGACGCGCCTAAAGTGTAACACAAACATTAGCGCGCTTTAACGCTATGTTTGTAATAACGTTAAAGTGTTATTACACTTGTGTAAGATCGGCTCTATTACACTCCTGCGATAAATAGATTTAGTACTTTGCATCCTGATAAATATTTCTATCTTATCTAAAGGATGCCGTTTCCCGCGACAAAAAAAAGCTGAATACGGTTGTCCCGTATGATTGGCTGTTTTCTTTATAGTAATAATTGTTAGTTAAAAGTATCTTCATATTATATTTTTAATAAAATGGCAATGTTTATGTTAGTGTTACTAAAATTGAATGATTTTGTTTTCAGCATATTATTTATAAAATCATAACATTAGCTCCGCTAAAAATTAATGTTGATGCATTATGGGATGGTAATGGTGGGCGCGTGATTTTGAACAAACACAGAATGCCTGCACAAGATTTAGGTACATTTTCTTCAAATCAAAGAATCCTTTCCAAAAAATCGCCCCAGGATCGCCAAATCAAATGTCTTAACTTCTTAATTCTATCACACTTCCGTACATATTTCCATTAATCCTTTCGTAATTGCTTTTTTAATGAAGGTGGTGCTAGCAAAAATGTCGATTTGGACACGACGGAAGGGCGATCATCGCACGTAGAATCTTTTATGTTTTTGGAAAACTAGAGTCCGAAAATTAGAGCGATTTCATTTTTATTCAGTTATATCGAATATGTCCCGTCTTTTGATTGATTGGTTCTGGTTGTCACATTCTTTGCGGTTGATTTATAAAAGTCCGTGACGTTTTGAATTTCCCTGAAGTTTGCGAGGCTATGGTGGCGCCATATTCAAGAATGTCAATATCAATAAAATGCTTTGTAAGTGTTTGGTAACTGAATTTTGATTCGGTTTAGGAGAAAGTAAAAGTTATATGAATTCTAATGGAAACTCATTGAATCAAAGTCCAAAAATGATGGGGATTGAAAATTATTTTCACTTTAACTGTTTAAGGTTCTGAATGGAAATAATATACCAGTAAGAACGGATTTATATTACAGGGATCGGACACTCCCAGTTAACCCTATATAAATGCTTAAATATCTTGTCGTGCACCCGATAAAGGTACATCAATCGATAATCTACCGGCGCTAAGCTTAAATGCCCATTCGCAACGGATACCTACTTCACAAAATATCATATGGCTTATTGCCTGCTGCACAGTAAATGGGCCAATTTTTCAAAAATACATGTAATGCAGGCTTTTTCAAAAAAATATATTGCATTTTCTATTATTTTTTGTGTTTTTATATAGGACTTACTATAAAGCAAATGTGCCCCAAATTTTTTTGTGATAGCATTACCCAAAATAAAGATACAGACATTTTTATACCCTAAAAATGTCCAATTTTACATGTAATGTGTTAGCATCTGTTTTTTTGGTGTTTTTAGAATTAACACCACTATTATCTGTTTTAATTTATCACTTAAATTTTTTTACATGCACATAGAAAATTTAATAACCTTTCCAGTGATATATAATACCTGGTATACATCATCCTGGTTTTTATCGTTAAGATGATTTTAGTAAAATCAGACTTTTGTAATGCATCAGTTTTTTCAAAATTCAGATGTTAAGCAAACAAGTATACCTTTAAGCAATTACAACTAAAATAGTACTTTATTCTCTCAATCTAATGAAATATGAATTAAAAGCATATATTAAGTGTTTTCAATTCAAATTTTCAAACATTTTTACCAAAATAGGCATTTTAGTGGTAAAAAAATTTTTGTGATGAAAAAACTGTAACATCCGTCCCCCTCTCATAAAATATCCAATTATAAAACAATACTCATAAAAAACAATGTTTCTGTTGCTTAATGATAGCCTTACAATGAAAATGTTATAAAAAATGCCAATTTCTATGTTTATGAGAAAAAAAATACAATAATGTAAAAGTTGTCTGTAACATCCGTCCCCGTAACATCCGTCCCCCTATATAAGATGCTTATTAAATCTCACATAAACTGTAACTGGAAAGGGAATTTTACACTAAAACACCAAAGTTACAATGAAAAATGAAGAAATAACAGAAATAAAGCACTGAAATGATGTATTTATAAAAAAAATATTATTTGTGAACACGAAATTCCTTAATTTTAAAAAAAAATCAGTATTTTTGCTCTGATAACAAAATTATTTACTTTGAAATAAAATTTATATTTTATTTCTTAACATCAAGTGGACCTATGAGCTTAATAAGATAATATTTAAGCTTATATGAATTTATAACAAATATAATATTTTGTTATTCTGTGTTTACAAACTAAGGGTACAGAAGGGGACGGATGTTACAGAATTGAACTAAAAATTCTTTTTACAGTAATACTAAACTTATCTTGTTCTTATGATGCATGATAGAGAAGTAGTAAGCTTTGCAACTGTATAGGAATGTTTCACACAACAAATAAAATACTATTTAAAAAAAAACTAGAAGAAACAAACACAAAATCCTTAAAGAAACAAACACAAAATCCTTAACAGGATAATTATATAGAAAGAGGTGCCAAAGATAGAGATGTTGAAAGTATCTTTGTGATTAAAATTGGTCAATTGTTAAAACATAAATTCTTTAGCCTTAAATAGTTAACAAACCATGTATCCCAGCCCCTCATAAAACAGTTGGATATGGATCCTAACTCTATACACACAGAAGGGGCTTGCACTTTATTGGAAGTTAACGAGCTGTATATTGGGAGCTGTGTATATTGGGAAGTGTGATATATTGCAAAACAGTAGGGGGTGCCAATTAAGGGTGATATATATTATGCTTAAAACAGTGGGAGGGACTACCATATCTGTTTCAAGAATGTCTGTCATTAAGTATTGAAGTTGAAGATCATTTAAGTCAAAGGATTTATTGAACTTCAAAATTTTATAGTCACTGAAAAATTTTAAACAAATAAAAAAATATAATTCAACACCCTGATTAAAAATTTTAGATTTTTTCCCCTCCCAAAAAAAATCAAGCACATTTTTTCATACAATTTGACCCATTTAATTATTGTTAATAAAGTGAAAGAAACTTGTAAGTAAAGGATAAGGTAAGGATTCCTTTAATGAAAAAGTTGGAATAATTGTGAAAATTATTCTGTAAAAAAACCCTATGCAAATTATTTTGCGCCTATAAATTTTATTGAATGACAAATTAATTCATTAAGTTAAAGCAGTTCATGTACACTGACATATTTACACAGAGAATTATTAAAAGTTAGAAATAATGAGATTATGATACTGAATCATAATGAAATCTTTGGATAATGCTGCTAACATTCCACATTAATTTACTTTAAATTTCATCAAATCGATAGAACTTAATTGCAGCAATTTAAAATCTTATAATTTTTAATGTAAATTTTTAATTGTGTATAATTTATGTATATAGTAATGAGAAATTCAAGCTTGCATATGTTTCAATCTGAAAACTTATTTACTTCACACTGTATCATATCTTTTACAAATATAAATTTTATTATTTAACTAATTTAAAAGAGTTTTGTAAATAATTTCATGTATAGAAAGGTTCTGTTTGGTATGACATTTTCTTTTTAATGTTAATGCATTATCTGGAAACAAAGATTCTTTTGTTTAATTAGCAATGTTTTTATTTTATTCCAAACATTTCAATGTTCATTCAAATGTAAGATAAATGGAAGAAAACTAAGTCAATGCAACTTTTCATTGTGAAACGCAAATAGTAAGAAACTCCATAATTGTCGGGTATATTTCTACATTTTCTCATAATTTGTTCAATGATTTTACATTTATTATACTGTACAAAGCATACTCTTATAAATTATATTACTTTAAAATAAAACCAAAAAAAAAGTATGAACTATGAGCTTTAAACATCTAGTGTAACATCCGTCCCACCAAAAATGTAACATCCGTCCCCCTGATACAATTCATTTTTGGGTTATCTGACAAGAAATATACAAAAGAAAGTCCTGTAATTTCTACTGTTTTATAAGAAATGAGTTTGCATATTTGTTTTAAGTATGATTTGGTGTACCTATCCTTGTTTTTTTCTCTCTATTTCTAATATGTTTGAAAATTTCATTTTGTGTGAAAAATACTGAAAATTTGAAAGCAAATATTTTTATATCTAAGATGAATTTTCTGGATTTTTTTTGTAACATTAATCAGAACACATAATATTTTAATAAAATAAAGAGAAATAATACAATTTTTATTATAAACTGTAAGATATTCAGACTTTTAGTATATCTTTGTAACATCCATCCCCTACCCACACAGTCCGCAAGAGATGTAATATTTTGAAAAAGGTATCCAAAAAGTTATCCTTTCTTTCCAAAAATATTGTCATAGACACCCTAAGGTACTTAAAAAGAGCAAATATTGTCTTGTATGTTTAACTTTATTTTTTGACTTAGATGCTAACACAATTGGCCCATTTACTGTGCAGCAGGCATTTTCCATTTATTATCCGATTTTTAATGTAACGCTAGAAAAACAATAAAAATCTTTACAGTTTGAGTCAGTATCATGCGAAATAAAAGTAACTTTTGAATATTTTTTACACATGCTTAAATTTCTTTGAAGTTTAATTACTTTTGAAGGGGATAATTACCAGGTAACAAGTGATAATTGAAAACTTTATTTTCAAACTTTTATAACCAGATTGCAACACTCAATCTTCAAAAACAAATATAATTTGAATGTATATTTTGTATGTGCGCGGTCTTTAACTACAGTCCATTCACGAATTCGAAAACCTAGCTAAACGCCGTTTTCCGGTACTTTCTGTACATAGCTCTGGGGAATTCACCTAATGGAGTGTAATAGCGATCTCCATGTTTTCGGCCTTTTTTTATACCCCCAAAAACGAAGTTTGGGGGGGTATATAGGAGTCACCCGGTGGTCGGTTGGTCGGTCGGTCGGGCGGTCGGTCGGTCGGTCCAGACGTCCGTTGTATATAGGAGTCACCCGGTGGTCGGTTGGTCGGTCGGTCGGTCGGTCCAGACGTCCGTTGCATTTTCCTTGTCCGGAGCATAACTTGAAGACTAATGGTTGGAATTCAATATAACTACATACAATGGTCAAGCACATTGAGAGGAAGTGCAGTGCACAAGAACCATAACTCTATCTTGTCTAATTACAGAGTTATTGCCCTTTGTTACTTTTCCTTGTCCGGGGCATAACTTGAAAACTACTGGTTGGAATTCAAAACAACTTCATACAATTGTCAAGCACAATAAGGGGAAGTGCAGTGCACAAGAACCATAACTCTATCTAAAGTAATTACACAGTTATTGCCCTTTGTTACTTTTCTATTGCTTTCTTTTGTCCGGACCATAACTTGAAGACTAATGGTTGGAATTCATTATAACTTCATACAATGGTGAAGCACATTGAGAGGAAGTGCAGTGCACAAGAACCGTAACTCTATCTTGACTAATTACAGAGTTACTGCCCTTTGTTACTTTTCCTTGTCCGGGGCATAACTTGAAAACTACTGGTTGGAATTAAAAACAACTTCATACAATTGTCAAACACAATAAGGGGAAGTGCAGTGCACAAGAACCATAACTCTATCTAAAGTAATTACAGAGTTATTGCCCTTTGTTACTTTTCCATTGCATTCTTTTGTCCGGACAATAACTTGAAGACTAATTGTTGGAATTCATTATAACTTCATACAATGGTCAAACACATTGAGAGGAAGTGCAATGCTTAAGAACCATAACTCCATCTTGACTTATAGAGTTACTGCCCTTTGTTACTTTTCTTTGTCCAGAGCATGACATGAAAACTACTGGTTTGAATTCAAAACAACTTCATACAATGGTCAAGCACAAT